GAAACTACTCTATCAGTCAACTGCTTGTTCCCTGTCACATAACTTGTGAGAGTATCCAGTTTGCATCTTTTCTGCAAAGTGTCAAACAATCCCTCAAAAGTGGGTGAAGAATGTTCATTTGTGCTTCCATGAATTCTGGCAGCAGCTTCAATGGTCTCATGCCTCCTTTTCCTTGAAATTCTAGGTCCCATTGTTGATCGTCCATCAGCAAGTGCAGTAGGGCTTCTTGTTCGTGCCTGAGATACCTGTCCCTCATGTGTCTAAAAATAGCACTAACTGATTAGACACTGGGTAGTAACACATTTATTAAAACAAGAAGTGGTTTAATGAGACCAAAATTGTAAACATTATAGATCTGAACACAACAATTGTATCTCACCATATCTTACATTTGATATTTTGATGTTTATAGTTTAGAGACACCATCATTTATGACAGTCTTCTGACTGACCAAATGAACACAGGCACACACTCAGGTTTCTTGTCCAGGCACTGGCATAGAAGCCTGGTACTGGCTGTCATTCTGGTACTGGCTCTGTGTTAAGTGGCCAGTCCACCAAAACTCAACTTCTAAAAATATTTTTTCTTCTTACAAAATTGAATATGTTTCCATTAATGTTTTTATCAAAAATTGGCATAAAATTGTATCTATCCACTAACTAATGAAAATCTACAGTCAGAAGTTGTGCTCAGCAATTTTTTGCTACACAATTACCGGTACCGGTAAAACAACCACAATGAGGAATCAAGAGTATACTCACAGTAATATTTTCTAACTTATTTGTTATGTCCTTGCATCGTTCCCTTACTGCGGCCAACTGAAAGCATCAATTAAACATGTCATCTCTTATGCAATGATTGGTTAATTCTTAAAGTTCATATAAAGTTCAAACAGATAAAAAAGCTGGGGGGTGTTAACAAATATTTGTGTAGGGAGGTACAGGGGGATGCACAAACCATTACCCAGTTTATAATTAAAATTATTATCATTATTATTATTATTTTTAATTTCCTACCTTGTCAAAATTGAAATACAAGCCTCCTTGTACTCGCACTTCCACCACTTGCCTAAAACACCTTGATACAAAATTCTCTAATATTCGAAATATAAGACATTCTCAAAGCACCACTGCTAATTTACGTTAAAATGACGAATTAAATATGTTATCTCGCCTTTTCCTGGGCTCGTTGACTTTTTTGTATTCTACCTGTAGCTTACGATTTTCACAACTTTCTCTCTTGCAACCTTCCGAACTTTCATGTATTGAGCCAAGTTAAAGCGCGTGTTCTTTTTGGGCGGCATCCTAAATATTAACTCATTAAAAACTAAGAAAAGAATGCAAAATTAGGAAAACAAAAATCACAGAGTTCTAGTCAAGGCTTTGAAGTTTCTCTTCGTAACAAAATTTCTCGGATAAGACGAAATATTTAAAAGACTATCCGGGCCAAAAATACCATACAAATGACAAGAAAACCTTACCTTCCCTTTTAGTATTTCCTCTGCTGTCTCTTTTTACGCGAAAATCGAAGAAAGTATTGTATGTTTGGTATCAAAATGACGGGCAAACTTGTTTACTTTCAGCAAATTTGAGTTTTGGCGCCTTCGGACTAACCCAAGGACCGCTCGGAGGCATTTTTCGACAGGCATTTTACTCAGTTCCAGTCTTCTCTAAGAAACACACGTTCACAGACGCAATATTTGTGGACAATGATTGTTCCGCTTCATAGCGCGCGCCAGCCCGGCGTAATAATATTATTACATGAACCCGAACAGCGCACAACCCCCCCTAAAAACCAAACTGAAAGTTGCCGTGTGTTGGGGCCGGATGGGTCACGTGAGCCGGTCCGGACACAACTTTGTTGCCACATTTACTTTTTCTTTCCCCTAATTACTTTATCACCTTATTATACCATGTCACGTGCTGCCACATTAATTTTTTTCTTTCCCCTAATTACGTCATTACCTTATTACATCATGTGTTGCTACCACAGTCATTTTTTCTTTCCCCTTATTACCTTATTAGGGAGCTTTAGCAACGACGACGGCGATGGCAACGAGAAAGGGAGAAAACAATAGGCTTGATGAGCAAAAACAATCGCTCTGCACGTGCTTTTAACATTTTGGTACATTTCTTTGCCGTTCTCGGCCAAACAACAACGTGAAATAACCAAATTTGAGGTTTTCTCGAGAACGTGAGCGCATGACGTTTAAATTTTTCTTTCTTTTTCCTTACTTTAACGCCGTTCGTAGTGATATAGTTCTTGAATAGTTCGCCAGCATTTTCCAAGTGAAACACATCGGAATAATCTCGAAATAGTTACAATAATGAAAAGTTAGATTTTGACACGACGTTTTCGTTACCGTCGCCGTCGTCGTTGCTAAAGCTCCCCATTACCTTATTACACCATGTGTACGTGTTGCTGTCTCATACAATTTTCACCCTATAGTTTTCATAACTATTGCCCTGGAAGACTAGCACAAATCAAGAGAGCAATCCTTACTACACTATTCACGCGTAATAAGAAAAAAACAGAGAAAAGGTTTCCTATTTTGGGCATGGTATACTCCTCCGCGTTTGGCATGGCTAACCCGGAGTCGAGGTACGTCAGTCAAAAAAGAGTGCGAAACAACAACAACAGACACGGTGGAAAGGCGAAAGGAACATAGGAAAATGTCAGGAACTCTTAAAGGAATTCAAAGGTTATCTTTGCACTATAAGCATTACTGACGTCAAGGGACCTCTGGGTGACAGTTTCAAGATAATGTGTGACAGGTAACGCAATTGATCCGACATCCGCTCCTAAAATTTTTAAGTGTCCTGTGGTGTTGGACTGATTCATTGTGGACTTGTAAAATATGTGACACAAAGGACCCTCGTTATAGTTTTTCTATTTTACTAAAAACTCACTAAATGTTGCAGAAGTCACTCATGATCCTGCAATCTCTTTTGTCTACTGGTAAAATGAACACTGATAATTTCGCTGAAACTTTAATGACTATGATGGTGCAGGTCTTAATGCCTCCAGTTTAGACCATCCTGTTTTCCTGAGACCCGACGTGACACGAGTCAGTTAATATTAATGTTTCAAGACGTTGTTTGTCAGCCCTTAAAGTTCTTACATCTGTTTCAGAAAGGAAAGGTTTCAAAGATGGAGTCTAAAGCGAACAAAAATTGGCATGTTCTCCTGTTTCGCCTCTCATTCAACTTAATTGTCACGCTAGGCTCACTTGGCTTCACGTGCTATTCTCTGCATAGATTAGATTCACGTTTGATAGCACTTGAACAAGATTTATGGATTCCAAATTCTCCGTCTCCTCTTGATTATCGCGTACATTCTCTACCAACCAGTTGATGCATCGTCGCCCAAATAGACCAAAAATGGAGCGGAACTTGTGCGCATCCAAAGAGCTGCGGATAGACCATCCTTGTGCCGTAAATGTAGAAACGTCTGTGCTGAATCGAATGGACGTCAAAGCGTAAGTATTCTGTCTCCGTCTTTTACATTTATATCAACCTCTTGAAGAAACGCCGATGTAGCAAGTCCACACTT